ATAGTATTTTATGAGTACTTATGAGAAAGCGCTTATTCTATGAGTAATTATGAAAAATTATGAGAAAATTTAATTGAAGAACCTACGAAACGACAGGATCTGCGCGCAATCTGCCGCCAATCTGCCGTCAGAGTCTGTCGACAGGCTCTGCGCGCAATCTGCCGCTAGTCTGTCTGTTCGCAGACCCTGTCAACAGTCTGGCGGCAGATTGGGGACGCAGATGTCTATGGATCTGTCGACAGATCCTGTCGACAGTCTGACGTCAGTCTGCGCGCAGATTGCTTACTATAGGTAAGGGAATATAATGAATTGTAGAAAAATAATACATAGATAATTGCATATATTTAATATATAATGTTTACAATATATATTGTGTGTTATTATGATAATTATATAATATGATATTATATTAAAGAAAAATCGATATAAAACTTGCATACTTACAGAATATAAATGTGTTTTATTTATGACACATATTTGTTACAAAGGTAGTGCTCATGGAAAAAATATATAATGCAAAGTAATTGTTTGCACTAAAAACAAATAATTACACTGTTCGATAAAAATCGAACTTTTTTCTGTGACATAAGTACGAATAGTCATTTCTAATGTATTTTTGCCTGCTGAATACGAATCTATCGCCCAAATTTGGCTGTCATATCACAATTTGGAGAAAAATGACGTCAAGAAGGCCAAAAAGCCTTGTGCGGGAATCTTCTTATCTTATATTTTACCTCATTTTTCTCAAAATTGTGACGTGATAGCCAAATTTGGGTGACGTATTCGGATTTAGCAGGCAGAAATACATCAGAAATGACTATTCGCCTTTTTGCAAAAAAAAAAAATTTTTCTGCCGAGTAATATTAATGCCGATGATTGTTTTTGATTGGCCACATTTTAAAAACAAAAGATTGTTGCGAAATGAGACCACATACATTTTCAAGAAAATTAGTATTTTTGCGTAGCATTAACGAAACGTAGAAAAAATTTTATTGTTTGCGCTACAACGTCACGAAAACCTTCAAAACCGTCATTTTTTATCTCTTTGACGTCATTTTTCTAAAAATTGTGACGTGATAGCGTCAAATCAAATTTGGATAACGAATTTAACAGACAAAATACATCGGAAATGACTGTTCATACTCGTGTCACAAAAAAATTCGATTTTTGTCGAACAGTGTAATTATTTGTTCGCGTGAGTCCCAGATACGCACATTGACAAACGGACACATCCAATCATATGTCGTTGTTAATAAAGTCTCTAGAATATCTCTAATCATAGGGCGTTGTGGTTGGCTGTGTCCGTTTGTCAATGTGCGCATCTGGAACGCTCCCATTTATTCTTAGTGCAAACAATCACTTTGCATCACACATTTTTTGCATAAGCACCAGCTCATGCAAATATGGCAATTTATGTGTCATAAATTATATTTATATTTATTTTCTATGTGTATGCAAGTTTTATATCGATTTTTCTTTAATATTATATTAATTATATAATTAATATCGTATAATAACACACATACATTATATATTGTAAACATTATATATTAAATATATCTATGTGCTATTTTTCTACAATTCATTACATTCCCTTATCTATAGTAACATATCTATTTACAGTATCCATCTACTTAGACAATATGGCATCTATAGCACGATGTTATCACTTCGTTTTCCAATAACTCCCCGTAGACCCTGTCTACCCATTTTTGTAGACAGGGCCAGATGGCTTCGGTTTCCCGAATGGCCCGTCGCGGCCCCAAGGTAGATTTTCTACCTCAGCTGACGGGTCTGAACGCGGAGGAGCGCGATGACCCTGGCCATGCCCTTTACTTGTCCCCTCCTCCGAAGCTTCCGCGTACTCTGATAAAGGACCCCGCACAAAACCTATGGAAAATGGTTTTCGGCTAAATTGGCTGAAATTTCACTATGTTATAGTTTTTGCCATGCTGATAAAAAGTTATCATTGCACCAAGTCCCAAAAGTCAATATTTCCCAAGATATAAAGGGTCAAAGTAGTGAAATATGGTCATCCGCAGTAGTAAGACGTATGTTATAAGTATAAGTGATACATTGATATTTATTCACGAAATAAATAAAAATCGATTTTTACATATATATATGTAATAAATATTTAGTTCCGCAATATATATGTATATGTATATACAGGGTGGGGCAAAAGTATCGGACAGGTGAAATATCTCGAAAAATATGTTTTACAAAAAACTGTTTCAGATCTTAAAAAAGATCTATTGTATTTACTGATTTTAACAGATTGATCTTGGGTGGCGTTGCCAAGGTAAAAAATC